GACAGCGCATTACGTAACCAAATTGTTTCTGTTAATATTTATTGAACCGTTCACGCCCAATTAGCGGAGTGACCTTAGTGTCGTACAGGGTACTCGGGGTCCGATGTTGTAGTTTTTCGTGAGTGCGTTGAGGTCATCGCTCTAGCAATCTCTTTGATCAAATCAACATATTGCTGTTCTGCCGAATTGAGTTGTATTATGTAGTGTATGTGTAGACTATGCCCTGATACCCTCTGTATAGAAGAGGCCTTTGCCCAGCTTACAACTTAGGATATGTATAGGCTGTTACTTTACTTTTTTTTACTTTTATACTAGCTTTTAACCGCGGCTTCGCCCGCGCGCCCAAAGGAAATTAACAATGAGTTTTTTATAATACACCAGAATATCTGGCAAATGGATAAACTTTTCCTACTTAGTTGACACTTATCATTACCTATATTTTGGACAATTCACACAATACATCTTTATAAATTGTAGTCTATGTGTTATTCTCACGTATAAGCTATATTATTGTAAAGTTCCATTAAAATATATTCAGTACTTTTTGCACGAAAGAGTAACAAACATCCATCCATACATACAAACTTTCGCCTTTATAATATAACTAGCTGCTGCCCGCGACTACGTCTGCGTAGAATCGGCTGAAGGCGTAACATTTAGTCAAAAAGACAATACGTTAAATATGTATATATATATAAATTATAGCTTATGTCTTATTCTGATGTATAAGCTATATTATTGTAAAGTTTCATTAAAATCCATTCAGTAGTATTTGAGTGAAAGGGTAACAAACATCCATCCATACATACAAACTTTCGCATTTATAATATTAGTAAGGATATATTTTAGTTTTAGTATATTCACATCCAAGTTCCATACCGCTGTTAGTTATCAATATTTTCGTTGTGTTCGTTAAATCTTTTTATGTGAATAGAAATTATTAAATAGAACTCATTGTTGTGGAAGTTATAATTTGCGTGCGTTTTTTTCAGTAGCGTTTATTGGTGTTGTTTATTAAGTGATTCTTGATATATTTAAATGAGTATGAAACGATTGCAAATACTTTTATTATAAAATTATATAACAGAGCGTAAGTGATGTCATTTATATATAATGCGTATTCAATAATCTTAGAATGGTCTGTTAAAAAAATGTTACTGAAAGTTTATAAGTAACTAGTAACTAGATAAAAACTTTCCGACTCCTCTTTATACTAATAGACAAGAGGTTAAAACATCCCAGCAGAAAGCGATTTTTTCAGCCTCATGTGTGAAATGTAATAAACCTAGAAACTTATTCACTTCATTGACAGAAACTGTTTTTTTTTTAAAATCTCATTTTCTACCTAACTCGTTCCTCACGACGTAGACGCTCTGTTAGCTTTTTGGAAAGACATTAAAGTGACTCGTCGAGATTGTCACCGAAACGTTTAAAATTAAATGCGGCAGTGAAAAAAAAAGTCCTTTTTTGCCGCCATAATTTAATACGCCATCAATCAATTTTTTGCCCGTCGATTTTTCGGTACGCAATCCCTCCACCGCGTCTCGTAATGACTGCGTGTCGCACTTCCACTGCAATAAAGTTAACTTTAAACGGATTGCCATTGCTCAAGCCGAAAACAATTAGTCTTCTATAACGGCTGACATTTCTGTAGGCAGTAAACGTTTAACACATTCCATTGCTGATGTTAATTTTTATGTCCGGCGCCTACTCGTAGGTACCTACTCGGTCGTAAAGTAATAACAATGTGCAACGGCCACTGACTGTTTTGTGATGGTAATATTGTTTAGCCATTAAAAGGCCAGCTCAAAGCCTCATCCTGAATTGGACTCACTCTAGGTATACTTGATCAAAGCAGCCGGAGATATTGATTCTGCGTTGCATTGCTTGTATTCAAAATCGCCGTCATTTTGAATAAACTTAGCATAAGAATCTATGCTTTCATACGTTCCTTTTGGTATATAAATGGTTACTGTAAAAACAAAGGTGTGAATTAATCTAAGAAACAAATCAATTTATTGTAAGAGTTTTGATTATTTGCGTAGTTTTTTTTAAACTGTTATTGGCTTCGGGTCTAAACGAATAATATATCTCGCAGTCGGCAGACAGCGAACTTAAAAAGAGCATTTCGACCGGACGGGCACGGGGGATATTCGCCTTAACTTCACTCGGCCGGCCGACGCCGTCGCGAGCGATTAAGTCTGTCTTAAAGTACACCAATTCGGCGTAATGATGGGCTCGCCGAAAATTGTTTCGTCCCGCCCGCGAAGCCACGCACCCACGGGCTCGTCGCCTGTGTGCGCGGTCAGCGCGTGCGCCGGTTTTGCAACGCCCGGGGCCCATCAGGTGCCTGCACCCGTGCAGTTGCATAAAGCCGATTGCGAGAGCCGGATCGCGGTCACTGCCGCGCCGGCACGCCGCTAAGGGCACTCGGCCCTTCCCCGCAACGATCTGGACCGCGGAGCGGCGACAGCGGTGCCGCGTCGACGCCCCAACAGTGCGTCGGCGTGACGCTTATCTTGATGGAACACTAGATTTTTTTTGAAGCGAAACTTCTAATGTGACTAACAAGGTTGCGTTGAACGTTTAACGCTACCATGGAGGGGGTATGAATGCACTGTCGCGTTAAACGTTCAACGCTCATGGGGAGGGGGAATAGAAAGAGACAGAGCGAGAGTGAATGCGTGGCACTCGAAGTTTCACTTCTTCCGCGAGACTCCACGGACTATTTTTTTTTAATTCAACAAAAGGCAAACTAGCAGACGGTTCGCGTAGTGTTAGACAGTTGCGTTGGCTTATATCGGGAGAGCCCCGGATATTACTAACTAGATGATAAGCAAAACATTTCTATTTTACGTTTTTACTTTGTGATAATATACGGTAATGACCAGTAGTGCCACGGGCTAGTCGGACAATTCATCCAATATCAGAAGTAGTCTCTACCGCAGTAAGAGTTACTCCACTTTCGAAATATCTTTCAAGGCCGTAGATTGTTTTGCATGGCGACATTTCCCGCGAAAAAGATTTTAAAGTGTTAATCTGTGCACTTGAATTCGTCTGAAAATAAAAAACGTATTTAAATTAAATTATAGACAAGCTGTTACCAGCGGCTTCGCCCGCGTCGTCAAAGGGAATTAATAATGAGTTCATCAATCATGACACATTCACGTGCATTCTGCATTTCTAATATAGTATGGATATAGATATATCTGTATCAATATTTATATATTATATTAATATAAATTATAAATTTAAGAAGTTATTCCTTTAAGAAGTTAAGGACCAACACATTGTTCACTTGTAGTATCGAGTTATTCAATTACACATTACGATAATGGAAGATCCATCATTATCGTAATGCAAATGAAATATTTTACCGCGGTAAAAAGAAACCTATGTCAGTGTCCAGCCTCCTTACTATCTCCAAACATAGAAATCGTGAAATAGGGACACACAAACACACTTTCGCATTTATTATACTTTGGATAGACAGATCGATCCATGAAGTGTATCTTTGTACAAAGTTAAACTACAACTAATGCGGTCAAGCCGCGCCCTCTTTAAAGGCTGAAGCCAGCTTTGTCGTAATACCCTTTGCCGGAAGCATTTTGGCACACTTTTCATTACACTATCTAAACGCTATATCCAAAACATTTGCACGTAAAACGTTTTTGCAATGTGCAGAACAAAACCGCGTAAATAGCTTACACGAGAAAAATATTCAGGCCGTTGAAAGGAAAGATACAAACGCAACCGTACAAAATTGATAGTAAAGTCCTTGGGGGGAATAATCGCAACGACTTGCGCTTAATGGCTCGAAAAGTTACAAATGCGCACTAATGTTTATAGTTGCACATCGCAGTGATTCCTAATTGAAACGGCAACCTGCTAAGCCCATTAGATTCGTCCGAACAATTATTACGGAGAGCCAACGACCGAGGTATTATGATAATTTAGCTAAAGAACAACCCGCCAGGTACATCTCCGATGTTTTTCGTTAAGACACCGATCGATTGCGAGATGCAGTGGCAATATTGGGACAGTCCGACTGCGAAACTGGTCTTTATACGTTCACACTCATTTGCCTCTGTACCCTTTATTAAGCTCGAAACTTTGCATGCTCGCGTAGAAGCTGCTCGGATTGCTTTGTTTCAGCACACATGAGTTAGTTACTGTTTTGAATTCAAAAAAGGAGGTTCTCAATACAGTTGTATTTTTTTTATATTTGCTCCGTCGTTTATCAACTGATTTTGGACATTCTTTTTGCATTTTCTTTGGTTTAGTCTCGTAATTTCGTTGATATTGGATCTTGGACTCCGGAGCTACAGGGTATTACTGAAAATCAAATAGAAAATGTATAATCAGTGAGATATATGAAGACTGTTTTGTTTTTTGTCAAAAAAAAATGGTTTCTTATGTCTAAACTTCGCGTCCTTATGTGTTTTTAGTCTCCGACGTAAAAAGAAGCGTGTTATAAGTTAGACGTGTCTGTCTGTGTATCTGTGTCCGTCTGTGCCATCGTACATTGTAAGCAAACGGACCTATTATGATGCGATTCTTTTGTTTGTAAGCTGACGATCGGTATGATTTTTAGCTATACTTTGAATTTCTTTTGTGTTTTGTTATAATATGAGAAGGGACCCAGTATATAGTATGACACGATGTGTCAAATTATATCCTTCTTATTATTATTCAGAGGTGGCATGTGTGGCCACGCAGCAGCCTCGGCTGTTGCACGAATTGGCAGGCTCGTCCGGGTAAGTACCACGACCTCGCAGAAGACCGGCGTAAAGTGGATATAATACTTTCGCGTTTCGTCTGGTGAGTGAGGTAGCCGGAGCCCAATTTTCAAAAGGTTGTCAACGCATCTGCAACCCTCGGGTGTAGCGGATGTCCATGGGCGGCGGTATTCACTTAATATCAGGTGAATCGTCTGCTCGCTTGGTAACTTTTCACATAAAAAATGTGTTGCGTAACTACAGCATGTGCTATTATTCCAGCGTGTGACAACATGCGGCCCGGCGTGCGGGTCCACCGGCGTTGTTCCGGCGGCGGCAGGCGCGGTGCGTCGCCTCGCGTCCAGTCTCCAAAGCACCAGCACCGGATCCCTCCCCGATTACGGCACACAGATCGTTGACCCCTACCGCTTGTTGGAGGACGACCTCAACGGCATCTACGAGGACATAAGATCGGTAAGAATGTTGTCACGTTCACATTAGAAACTTTTGTTTCATCTTAAACTGGTTCAGAACAGTAGTTTTAAATTATGCACGAAATATTCTCAACTTTTCTTTTTAGCTTATCGCATATGTGTGAACGTAAGTTTTTTTACCAACATAAAATGGCTACACGACCAATTTTGACATTGAAAGAAAATTAACGTTTAACGTGACCAATTGAAGTTTACGAATGTTCTCACGTTCTTTTTTAATTAGTTATTTTATAATTGGGGATAACGTACCACGTGTTAATACATCGAGATTTCATCAATGACCTTGAAAGTTAGTCCTATACGTCTTGAACTCTTTTAATGAAATTACGATACGAACGTACTTGCATTATGTTGTGTAAAATGCTTAACTGCCTGTGAATCGTACAATTTATCTTTTTTTATCCACACTGCCTCTATCTTCCGCAGTGAAGGTCGACAGTACAATTGTATATCGTTTACTGTCACAGTTTTTTATGTTCTTAGAACGGGAAATGACTTGTCACCATGACCTAGTTCGATGTGTTTGCAATCATACCTATCTTATCGCAATTTTTAAAAAGCTACCATAACACTTACTTGTAGTGGCATCTTTTATATTCATTATTTAGTTATGTTATCGGAGGTCTCAACACCGTTGTTTGATTTCGAGACATGCTTCGGATCGCATTAATTACTCGTAAATAAATGCTATAACTTAGGTTTTCAAATCTTACGAGCAAAGCGATTGCTTCGCTTTAGTTTAGTTTTCCCACGCAAATTTTGTTGTACATTAAAGACTTTACTATCGGTTTTTATGTGAAGATATGTGTTTATGTAGTCCGTTAGTATTAATAGACTTCGCGAGGTAACATACTATATAAATACTTTCAGGGGCAGTTCATATTAAACTCCCAAAGTGTTACACGTCGCGGCAATCAAATCGTTAGCAATTATAGGTGTTTTTCGATTGTATAGGTCATTGTAGTGTCCATTGATCTGCAAGTGTGTCAAAGACACTACGTGATAGCACGCGAGTACGTTGCTCGCGCATCGTCCGGCGATTGTGCACTGCGAGTTGTTACCGGTAGAGCTTTTGGACTGAGCTACGTGTCTTGGGATTCATGTCGCCTTAGTACTTAGATTTTCAAATTTTCAGGTTTAAGTATTATTATTATTTTTTTATTTAAGGATCACAAACTTAAAACACTAGTGAAAGTTCTGATATGAGTGAACACAAAATGCAACAAAAACACTGACAATAAATAATTTTACAACACAATAAATGCAAACATAAAAAACTTAAAATACAAAATAATAAAAAAAATAGATGAATATTAAATATTAAAACAAAAAAAAACATAAGATTAAATTACATCTAAAATTGAACAAAGCCAAGCTTGGACTGTCAAAGTTGTATCCCTAAATGTAACTATTATACATGTTAAAATTGTATCATTAAGGTATTGGTTTAAATTTTAAACAATTCTCTTGTAACTAATGAAATACATAATTGAGAATTCTCAAGTCTTTCTTTAATTAGACTTCGAGCTTTAACAACAGACCTTGCACGACGTTTCTTTACTGCATTGAAAGTTTTTGAAGTGTCAAGTTGCATTCCATTTTATTGAGTTCCTATGAGCATAACTGATGTAGGTTCTCGAGTGATCAATAAATTATCTTTAGTTATTCATGTAAACAATATCCACTTTTCCATTCAAAACAGCCGGTTTTATTATGTACTTTACACGTTACATTGCCCTCCGCGTATTATATTTTATGCGTATTATATTTGTATCCTTTATTATTTTATATTTATTATTATACTGTCTGTGGGGCATTGTACTAAATCAGGCTGAAATGCTGATGATGTTTATATTCATATAAAAATCACACGTGTGACTGATTTTTTTACGTCATAATGTTATATTGAAGTCCGGCTACTGTCAACCTTTTTACTAACACAATATTATTTAAAAAAAATGAATGCGATATTTGATTTTTATAATTGGTAAAATAGTTTACATCCACTAACGGTATTCGCGAAAATAAAATAATTATTTATTAATAATTAGTATGATACACGTTTTCCTTTGTAATATCACTATACCCAAAATAGTCGCATTTTACTGCTGCAAAGATGGTAAAACTATCATTATGATTAGTTAGTTATTAGACAAACACCCAGTTATGTGCACCTTATTTAGATGGTCGTAACTTTAGAGTAGTAAAGCGAGAGTTAAAGCTGTTGTTTGTTTGCTGGCCTTCCTTTTCAACTTCTTACATAACACCAATAGACAGGAAAATTGTTAAGAATGTATAGAGAAATGAGTGTTTATCGATTTCACCAAATTGAGATATGATCTGTTATAGTCAAGACTCGTAATGGTTCGAAATTGTTTTCTTTTTAGCTAACAAAAGTAAATAACTTTAATCTATATTAATGATAGCTTACGTTCAATGCATATGATATGGATTTTGTTATTTATATACAAGCCCTATTAATGTAACATATTTATATAACAATCCATACATAATATACTTATAATATTATAAATGCGAAAGTAACTTTGTCTGTCTATCTCGCTTTCACGCCTAAACTACGGAACCGATTTAAATGAGATTTGGTATACAGATAGTCTAGGTCCTGAGAAAGGACATATTTTAATTGGAAAAAAGTTTTGTAACAGTTTGCAAATATCTTTCTTTAAAAAAATTATATTTTTTAAAGTAAGATATTTATTTAAGAGTATCAATGCGAGCAAAGCCGCGGGCGAAAAGCTAGTAGTCTATATATTCTTGTCAACAAATTTTGCGTTTTTTTTAATTATTTTGATATGATTGCGTTGTTCTATGTATATTTCGTGTTAATTTATAAATTTTTCTTGCAAGTCTCGACGATGATTTTTCAAATTTATTTTTTTTCGATTTTTTTAAATTATTTATTTTACAATCATAAAATAAGATATTTTAAGCGATTAACTATAATTACTAACGATTTAAATTTTAAACTGGAAAATTTTGCTGATTACAATTATTGCAATTGTCAATAATATGTTAACATCGCAATTATGAGATGCAAACGACACTCATTTAGCATCAAACCTAGGACTCTTTACTCAGCGCGAGTATGTACTCGCGACATGTGTCGTGATACCAGAATAGGTTGAACTCTCCGACTTCTCCGCGCGGTTGTGGCGCGGTCGCTTTTACGTACGTTTGTGGCGGGCCGTTCGCCTACTTTCTTGCTCGGGAAACTCGTCTGGAACTAGGCCCGTGCGCGGTTGGCGCGCTCCGCGTTTCTAAACGTCGGGTTTCCTAGTTTACGCGGTGGTTGCTAAACATCGGGAATGGTAAAACGAGGCCACGAAAGTACGACTTCTTATCTTTTTCCACCCACACTCTGGCCAGCGTCGGACCTGAGGCCTGATGGTGGGTGGTATCGGTTACTCATCGCATCTCGCTCGCCTGCCTTAATGTATGAACCTCGATGGTTTTTTTACACATCCCTCGTGGTTCTTCAATGAGTAGAGTGTTTTTTTTAATGAATGAATTCCCACTTCACTTAGCCGAAAGATGAAGCGTATCGAGTAGGAAGAATTTCGCTGGCTGCTGTCGCAATGTCGCGAAGTTCGAATTTCAAATCCATGGAATATAATCATAGAAATAGTATAGAAATATAATCAACTCAGGCTAGTGAAAATAAAGTTTTATCCTAATTCGAACTACTAGAAAATTGTCTGTATCAGAAACAAATTTGCTCTATAAGTCACATTTTAATTAAATTAATTCCCTTTGTAACTGCCAACGCTAAAGTAAAAAGCTTAAATATTTGTATTATAAATATCATCGTAAAAGAAATTATCATTGTTAATTAAAGTCCTTAATTAAACGTGTGAGCCGCTTAGTAGAGCACGAATAACATCACAGAGAGATTTAGTTACCAGTTAGTCCCCGCAACTTTACCCGCGTCTATCTTTCGAGATTGAATACTTAATTTTTACGCCGTTCGAAATATCCTATAATTTAACGCACTAGGAATCCCGTTGCAAGTTTCGTGCAAATACGTTCAGCCGATGCGGCGTGAGAAGTTAACAGCACAAGTTTTCGCATTCATTATTACCACGTTAGACTGACCAGTGACTGTATATCTGATTTAGAAAGAACAACGCAAACCCTCGAACGGAAGCTATTTCGTAAGTCCCGGTACCCGTTGTTATATGCATCTGATTTTAGACTGCATCCGTCGAAATAATCAACCTCTTGTGCAAGGTGGAATGCTCGAGAACAATCGCTGTGTCTTTAGTGTGAGCTCGTCCCGGCAACTCTTAGGTAATAATTGATGCGTTTACGTCTTTGACAAAAGAACCTTCTTATTCGACGGTGCAAGTTAGCAATAAGCTAGGAATTTCAAATTAATAAATGAGAAAGAAGAAAATAGTGAATATGGTTTAGTAATTTCAGTGCTCTGGACAAGTTTAAACAATAATAGTCTTCGCACAGATTGCGTTGATATGTTTTTTTAATACATTTTCCCATCTTTTAGCTATTAATGACATGGTAAATTTTCAAATAAATTTCTAATTGTATTAAAAAGTGAAATTCCCATTAAAATTTCTGAACTTTTATTGAAAATAATCGAAATAATCTCTTGGGCGAAAAAGCAAATGCAATTTTAAGTGAGACCGTGATAGTGAAGACGTTGCGTTATACCGGGCAGTGGAAAGTGTTGAAACCAAAACATTGACCTTGTTTCGGGATGCCAAACTTACTACGGCCATAGCATTCGAACAGCCGCCTACGAAGTTTCACTGATGACTGGGCAAAAGTAAATAAATAGATACGAAACTTGTATGTAAGAAGGCGTTTTGTTTAGTAATAATGTTAAGCAAATTCCGACAGTTGGGAGTCCTTGCATGTCATATTTGTATACGTTTTCCCAACAGTTTGCTAATCAGTGCAAATGTCGTGTCTGCTGCGGCATAATCAAAAGCTCATACGCGA